CCTGGACGGTTCCCAGAACTATTCTCAGGACGATATTTTGAACAGTACAGATCGTCCTGGACGATCTCAATATCGTCCCGGACGATCCTGGGAGGAAAATCCAAGTCAGAGAGGAACAGTAAGGGAACGAGGTCTCACATTTATCACTTAGCGCCTCTGGTAGCAAATTTTTGAAATCTAAATCTCCATTGTTTCTTTCACCTAGGGGTGTCAATTTTTGACACAACCCGAAACACAACCCAAACCCGACTCGGAAAAATCCGGGTTAGGGTCAACCCGGACCCGAAACGGGTCGGGTTTGGGTTCAACAAATCAACTCGTTTTAAAAATCGGGTTGGGTTCGGGTTTATCCAACAACCCGAAAATGACCCGAAATTGATACGAAAACTCTTATTTGACCCGGAAACCCGAGATCGACCCGTTTTTGACCCGAAAATCGAATATTTGCCCGATTTTTGACCCAAAAATTAGCAATTTTATGTCAACTTCGGGTCATTCGTGTCGGGTCGGGTCGGGTTGACCCGAACAGTTCCGTGTCAATTCTGGGTTCGACCTGAACTCGAGCCGCTGACCCGAATTGACACCCATACTTTTACCGCATAACAGCCTTGAAGCAATTCCACCCAACTTAACTGCATGTCTTGTTCTGTATTTAATCACCTTTTTTTGCATCCGTATCAATATACGTTTAAGCTCTCTTTTACTGTACTAAATTGTAATTAATGCACAGGCGAACCAACTTTTCCACAACCTAATTTACTTGCGTATAAATTTGACTTGTAATAACTCTTTTTTTTTTTCTTTTTAGAGAAGTAATGGCGATGTGTTTCTATTTTCAAAGTTTTCCAATTACTGTTGAGGCATGTAACATGTGCGGAAGAAAGCACGAGCCTGTTGAGCTTTTTAAGATGGTCTAAATTTTTTGGACACCTAAATGAAGGCCTCCTTTAGCTCGTATATATTTTTGCTTTTATCCATTTTATATTTCTCTATAAATCTCTCTGGTAAATTCTGATTAAGATGTGAATTTCAAAATTAATTATATATGATATTAGAGGGTGGATTGCCAGTTCATATTTTATACTCGCACTTTTTTATTCTGTTTTATCAAAGTAAATATTATAGAGCAAATGGATTTTAGCTTAAATTAGATAATAAAAGGATATTTGCTTTATTTTACTTCTGTGTTAAATCAGCTGCACTTCTGTTGACGAATCTTTGAAGTTTTTTCTTTTCTGTGAAGGACTATTTGGTTGCTTTAAAGTTGAAAACACCTTTGACGTCAAAATTTGGTTATTCCTTCATTTGGTTCTACATTCTAAGAAGTCAATATTATGTTTTAAATTCCACTAACCTCCTCAAAATGCCCTCAAATGCAATAGTTTTATTTTAAGTGAAAATGAAAATATTATTTATTTCTTAAGATGTGTTTTCTATTTACAAGCAATCCCCTAAGGGAATAAACATGACTTTTTTTGCCCATGAAGAGTGATGGTACTTGGCCCAATTAATGAAATTGTATGTGCCAGTGGAATCAGCCTTGAGCATGACCTTTGGTTTCTTCGTGGAATTAATTTATTTTCAGTCAGCTCATCCAATTGCATAAAGATCATTTTGTCTGTAAACTTCTTAGTTTATTTTATGTTCATTGTTTGAATAGCCATCAATAAATATTAATGAGCTGTTTGCCTGTTTTGGAAAGTGAAGGCTAGATTATTTTATTTCGAGTAATATGGTGTGTTTCAACTCTAAAGAATTCTGCTTCAGGAATTTTATAAAGTAGAACACCTAAACTTTGGATACTTTACAAATTATTAGTTCTTTCAATAAGACAACCATAATATTTATATTCAATTTATGCAATCTCATTTTACCTTCTAATATTTTCTTATTATGCACACTCTGCAAAAGAGAGATTTGTGTTATCGAACTTGATATTCCTTTTTTGATTAATGTGTCAAAGGCTGACAGATGCTCAATGAATAGGTTTCGGAAGCATCAGTCAGTAGAAACCGCAGCACAATTATTGTTCCGGCTGGAAGCTCTGGCGAGGAAGGATGGTCAGCATTCAGAAACATTCTACTGGAAATAAACGAAGAAGTGTCCCGGATCTTCATACCAAATCAGGTTTTTATACATAAACATGGAAATAGAGTAGTTTTTACTTTACGTACATAATGTTCTGATCATATTTTCTTGGAAGCAGCAACACCTTGAATCCTCAGAGCGTGTTCCAGGACTTTCAGATGATGTGGGGGCTGGTTTTATATCAGGATCTGGCCATAGCAGTCAACCGGTTGCAGGATCTGACTTAAATGTTGATAGATTAGTTGAGCTTTCTCCACAGGATGAAGTTGGGAGCATGGGACTATCCAAAGTTATCAGAGCTGACCAAAAAAGGTTTTTCTTTGATTTAGGAAGCAATAATAGGGGTCATTTCCTGCGGATATCAGAGGTAATCAACTAGTTTCAATAGCTGTTTATTTCAAGATCTGGTTACCATTGATGCAGCAATATATTTAAGCAGTTGTAAACAAATTTTTAGATTTCTTAAGGGCACACAAAAACTTGGATTATGGCATTCTAGGAAGTTGCTCTTATTTCAACTTGCAGGCACAAACCTTGCAAGGCGCTCACTTGATTGGAAGAGTACCTCAGGCGCATGTTAATTTCTAAGAAATATAGTGATTTTATTATGAAAATAGGAAACAAAATTCTTTTGCTTTTTGGAGGAACGGGAGTCTATTGTCGTGGGGAGTTTTCTAGTACAAATCCTATAGATACAGCAAACTGTGCCCCTGTGTTAATATATGCTCAATCTTTATTTTTTATTTTTCGTGCTTGAGCCAAGCTAAAAAATGATATTATCGATTACATTGGGATTTTTTTATATAAATAGTCAAACTTAAACCAAATTGCAGCTTTTATAATGGTTGATGTAATTGAGTTAGTATCTTCTGAATCTTTCAATAATCAGAACTTTTTATATTGAACTAAATGTAACTAACCAAGCTAGCTTGCTGTGTTCAGGATAAGTGTCCACTCAAGTATACATTTACAAAATACCTCACTTGAAAATGCTGGTAGTGGAAACCAGATTTATAGAAGAACTTATTCCTTGACAAAGAAGATACTAAACAAACAAAAGCAAGCATATCTGGATTTCTTATTAAACTCTTATGAACACATGAGATGTTGATGAACGTAAAGAAACACACATACTTATGCATGAACTTGTTCACTCATGTGTCTTTCTAGGAGCTTGAATTGTGCTCTAATGTATCATATACTTTTTTTCTCTATTCAGCTATTGGAATACAAAAAAAACAAAGGTCGATCTTGTATGTGAAGTTCTCAACCAATATAGGATATGGGGAGAGGTTTATGCATTCACCCTCATATATTTTAATAGAGGTTGTTTTCATGACTCGAACATAACCTTCATATCACTATGCAGCCGTGGAGGCAACCTAATCATTACCCAAGTCCTTCCTGAAATGTCTAGATTGAATTATAATGTTAGATTAGTCCATTGGACTGGACCGGCTCACGAAATGGAGGCGAAACTCTTTCGTCTCCTGCAGGTGCCGCGTAAGCCGTCGAAGCAAATGACGCATTTTAGGAAGGATTTTTGAGGGATTTGGGAGGGAAATTTGAACATAGGGACTGTTTAGGGATTTCCTTTTGATTTGATAGCATTAAATACTTTGTTTTCCTAGGGTTAGGGCATCTTGAATTTCGCTGATTTTGGGATCTCTTAGGTTTAGGTTTTGGGCTCTAATTTCGTCTAGAGATTGGGAGAGATCGATACTCCACTCGAACAGAGGATCACTTGTATTTTGTTGTTTTCTTCCTATCTATTTGATTCTTGCAATAAAATTACTTTTTTTCTGTTTTCATTGCAATTGCTTAAGGTCTAGATATCAGGGTGACCTATCTTAGGCTTTTTTCTGTTCCTTACTCTACAAATAATGAAGTGCTCCAAATAGAGTTTAATGGCTTAAAGCTCCATTATGAAATTTCTTTTGATATGCAAGTGCAGGTGGCTGGTCCTGACCGCTCATCTATCATCTTGCCCTTGTCTGCGCTGAAGCAGTTTCATGAAATGCTTGGTCACTTCGTCGAAATAACCAAGGACAGGCTTGAAGGGATCTCAAACGCAAATGTGAGGACTGTGGAGCCTTCTCAGAGATGACTCCTTTGTTGGGTGGTTTCAGACGAAGCAATCTTGTTTAGCCTTAGTCTTTTCTTGTGTTAGTCTAGCGCTTGCTTTCCTGTAGATCATGCTTAATTTTCTGCCATTTTCTTCATCATAAGGGCTGATTAAATGATTAATAATATCTGGTTATTGGGAGTATGGTGAGAATAAGCAGGGGCTGGGTGTGATATAATGTACTATTATGCTTCGGTTGGTGTCTGTAATGTTATTAAAAGATACTTCAGCCCTGTTTAATTCTTTAAGAATATGTTATTATTTGTGCAGTTTGATCAATTTTGTGGCTTTTGATGTGATTTTGCGGTTCCAACCTTGCAGGAGTAGCATAAATTTTTGCTCTTAAACATGGGAACATTTATTAGGTGAGCTTAGCTCATGATTAGCTATTTTCATATGAATTTATGCCTGCATTATTTTGTGGTTTTATATTTTGAGTTTGTATTTGTAATATTATTGCATGATAATATAAAGTTCGGGATGTCTTTATATACTTCAGGGAGATATGTGGCGGTGCCATAGGAGGTTCCTTTCGAAATGGTGCTAATGGATTCAAATGAAATGCTCAGCTCAAATCATATTAAGAAATGATTAAAGTTTCGTTTGGGACGGCTTTTTTATTGCTTTATAAAATAAATTTTTAGCACAAATTTTTTTTTAAATTTGAAAATTTTGTACTAAAATTTCATTTTAAAAAGTAGTACGAAAATTGTCCCAAACGAAACTTAAGAAGGATGACTTGAAAGAAATGACTTTCCATTAAGCATGAGTTCTTGGGAAGGGCGGCATTGACCAATGCTGATCAAAATCACTCGTCAATAGTTGAGATGAAGAGTGTTGGCCAAGGCCAACAAAAACCGTTCACTAAGAAGGATGTTTTGTTTGAGACGATTTTCTTACTATTTTTTAAAATAATTTTGTAATGTAAATATTAAAAATTTTATACTAATTTTTTTTAAAGCGACAGTAAGAAATTCATTGCAAACAAAACCCATTAAGCATGAGTTCTTGGGAAGGGCGGCATTGACCAGATGAAAGAGTGTTGGCCAAGGCCAACAAAAACCGTTCACTAAGAAGGATGTTTTGTTTGAGACGATTTTCTTACTATTTTTTAAAATAATTTTGTAATGTAAATATTAAAAATTTTATACTAATTTTTTTTAAAGCGACAGTAAGAAATTCATTGCAAACAAAACCCAAGTTCGATTGGTTTGGGAAGACAGTGCTACCCTTCTAAGAAGAAGAGAGTTTTGGCTAAGGCGAACTAAATCACTCAGTGTAGGATGAGAACATAGGATAAGTTCTTGAGAGCAGGAGAGTGTTGCCCAAGGAGAGATTATTAAGTGCGGAGTGCCGACGGGGAGAACTGTCCGCACAAGCATTGGGTACTTAGTGGAACTTGCACTCAGTACAGCTGAGTACCGCTACGTACCCAGTGCTTATGCGGACGGTGCGCACTCCGCACCTAATAATTTTTCCCAAGGTTGAGGGATTGAAGGGCTAACTCCACATATTCATTGAGGGCTAATCTCTCAAGAGACTAATTGGGAAGGGCTGCATAAGGGGTAAAGGAACCCACCTGAAGGAAAGGCCATTAAAGTCCTGACAATCCTTTCAAATGTGTGATCTTCTGAATTAAAATGTCATGTCAAACTTAGATCGTAAGCCAACTAAATCAGGCTAAAATACGGCCAATCTATAACACCGCGTAATTTGAACACGACACTAAATTAATATCTACCATTAATAAGATTATATAATATATTTTCATTATAGGTTAAGATTCATTTATCTTAAAAGGTTAGACTATCTATGAAAAGTCTATGTTCTCTTCACTTATTTATTTTTCTCTCTTGAGCTCTCTTGAAGTTTATACCTTATGTTAGTAAGATGGTATAATATTTTTATTATGACCAGTTAAGAGTCACTGATCTCAAAGTTTTAGATTTTTTTATGAACATTAGAAGTTCTCTTCTAATCTAAGTTATTTTCTCTTCATTATAGAAAAGCCATCTATTTGTAGCGGCAAAATCCGCTTCAAAATTCGAGAAATGATTTGTGGCTGATTTGCAACGAATATGATTCCAGTGGTAAAACAGGCATCACAAACTAGTCAGTAGCTCTCTCTCTCTCTCTCTCTCTCTCTCTCTCTCTCTCTCTCTCTCTCTATAAATTATAATTGATAAGGATTTAAAAAAATTATATACATCAAATGGTTGCCTTTACAATTGCAATATGATTTTATGACCACCATTAACGGCCTATTAGGAGTTTCCATGCCATAAACCCATATTAGCAACTAAATTCCTTTATACACATGGTTAATTGACTAGAATGTATATACATTTGAAAGAACATATGTATAATCTACTAGAATTTACCGCATAAATGCTTCTCCTAGCTAGGTTCATATATTTGTTCATAAATATATATTTGCTCAAAAGGATGCATATATGTTAATACAAAGTAAGCTTTTCAAAAAAATTATGAATTGCAAAATAAGCATAATTAATTTAAGATTGATTATGTATAAAAAAACTTACTTATCTATGTATTATTATTATGTTCCTGAAGAAAAAACTTTTATCTACAAAAATTATACAAGAATACTAAAATAACTCTGAGAATGCCTCACACATTTCTTCAATCTATTAAGTTAATTCAAATTAATTATGGTTCCTCCACAAGATTTTGACCAATAAGTTTTCTTTGTTATCGTTGTTTTTTTCCTTCTCATAGTTTGGGTTAGTTTTTATTACCATTTAATTTATGTCATATATAGTAAATAATATGAACATGATCATTTACATAGTTATGACCTCATTTTTTGATGTAGGTTGAGCTTAAAAATGTTCTAGCTTTTACTAACTTGTCCTAGATCTTAGGTGGCTGATCTTAAGCTTTTACTCAATGGACTCTTGTTGACCCAATTAAGCTTCAATAAGTATCTTTTAACTAATCTTGTGATTCATCCTTGATACACCTTAGGTAGATCCTAGGTGTTTTAGTTTATTAATCTAGTTGGGTCATAACTTGATATGGTGGATCTTAAGTTCCTGCATTATAACTTTTCTAACCAATTTTGACCCAATCATGATTAAACTTACTTAGTTGACCAATCATGCTCATGTTGACCACCTTGATTAACCTTTCATAGGTCTCAAGTGTCTTATTTGACCAATGACTGGCCCATCTAATGCAATTTAGACCTTAGCCTAACTTTAGTTAACCCAAACTCAAATTGAATTAGTCTGAACCTCTATAATGCTCCTTATGTCCATTGTAGATCATTTGCATTAATATATAGGTGCTTAGCCCCCAACTATGAGAATCTTGACCTAATTAATCCAAATGAGCCCACTTGACCCATTTAAATAATTAGAGCCCCATAAATCAATTTGATCATTGAACACAGTTCTAATTTTAATCGGTCTCAATCAACTATATGTTTTAAAACATACTCTAAATTTGATTGAACTAGTGCACTTAATCAAAATGAACCCTTAGTTGAGCCTACATGACCCAATGTGATCCTTTAAGCCAAATTAAATTTGATTGACTGCTTGACCTAGTTAAAAACTCATATTTTCTTCACTAGGTGTACCAGGCTACATTTGACTTATTGTTGCTCACCCCAAAGTGTTTAAACCCATATTGATCCCAAATTGAACTGTTTGGGCCAGCCTAACCTCAAACTGGAACCCCTTGGCCATTGCCTTCAAATTGGCTAACCTCCTTAGCACCTTAACACCCTCTATTGATTAAATCAAAGGGCAGGGATGGGTTACATTCCATTTTACACCTCAGTTGAGAGTAGATGGGTCTACAATGTTTTTTCACACTAAGGGAGCACCTTGGTGACATTTCTTGAGACTAACAACTCTTCTATAGACCTTACTCAACCAACCTTAGTAATGTTTATGAAGCATTTTCATCAACATACTCATCAAGAACAACTCAAAATTTGGTTAAGCCTTTATTGTGATTATGTTAGGGAGATGAAGCTTCTCAACATATATATTAGTTCTATTAGAACATGTTATGATCATGTATCGCTTACTTAACCCTACTTTGTCTCCTTATTTATTCATCGAAATTAAACATTAAATAACATTCCATTTTTTTACAACATTGTAGAGCACTTTAGGGCTCCTTTGATTCAAGTATTTTGATAAAGTGGTGGTTCAATATTCTCTCTAGAAGCCTCAACCTTGAACAAACATTGTAGCTTCTAACTAAGGTAGGATAAGAAATTATGTGTATTAATTCGTAGTTTGATTAGATTGATAAGCCATATTTAGTTTAATATTAACCTAAGTACTAGATCATGGTAGGAACATATATTTTAGGCCACTTGATCATTGATCAAGTGCTCCAATTTGATTTTCCATCAGAACCAAGGGCTTACCTTGAGTTCTACCCTAGCAATGCATTACCATTGCATAACAAGCTTATACACAATTAGTCCATGATTGTGTAAAGCCTTTGAATTATTTGGATTTCTTACTTATTTAAAATTTACTTCTCATAAACTTTAAGTAAAAAATATGAAATTAATTTCTAAATTTTCTACATGTTTAACTCTATCTAGGAAAAATATTAAACTTAATTTTCATGACCTTGATGTTTAATTATGGCATTTCTAAGTCTTAGTAAATTTTGAAGCCCTTTAATTTTTAAAATTATGAGGTTAATTCTTAGGGACATTTAAAACTTAATTAACCTATCGCAAATGTTCAAGGATGTTTGGAGAATATTTTGTTATGTTGAGCAATTTTCAAGTACTTTCTCCTCACTTAAAAAAAAACACTTAAAATATTTAAATTAGTTTTTAAAATTTTAAAAGCTTTCAGCAATCCTTTATTTGAGTTTAGAGCATGTGATAGCATGGCTTCCAACATTCAACTTTGAAACTCTCTCTCTCTCTCGATCGATAGTTTTAACACTTTTAACACATTAAACACATTTTAACAATTAAAAAAAAAAAACTTCTTTCAAAACAAATAATCCCTTTAAAAAATATTAAATTTGATTGAAAAATTTAAAACCTTTATTTAACTGTTTTGGGTACTTTAATGTGTTAATCCACCTTAGAGTAGAGTTTATGCATCATCAAAATCCTAGAACTTCGGGGGTGATCTATTCATCCCCAGGATAGATTATGTTCACAACTACTAAGTTCTTTATAATATTTCCAAATCACTTAATCTCTTTTGAAACAATAAGGTTCCCTTTTGAAATATTTAAATTGCATTAATTGTTTTTAGATATTTTGTTATAATACTCTATCACATCATTA